ACATACTTCCATAAGCGACGGGAACCACTCACCATCAGGGGAGTCGTATGCTCGTTTGCATGCAAAGGCAATAAAAGAAAGCCTATTAGAAGTATACCAGACATGTTTTGTAATGTGAGTTGAAGTCGTTGTGCCTACAACGACTTCAAGGTCTACCCTGATCTACCTTCGATGGATCTAACCGTTTATTCTGCTAAACGTGATATTAAAAGAGAAAGAAAAATAATTCAATACAAATACAATAACACTTACTACGAACGAGTGTCAGCTAAAACAGTATTTATCATGCAGCAACACAGCAGCTTCAATTTCCAAACGAACCATTTCAACGTAAAACAATACTGTACTAACGAACAGAAACAGTCTCTCGGTAAACATTTGTATCTACAGAACCACACCCCGAAGCGCTTCGTCTCTTGACAAACGATACTCCACTATATTAAATTCACCAACGCAACGAAGTACCGTTGATATTAATATTGTATAAAGCGACGAATCTAGAACTCGCTAACTAGAAGTACCCAAATAATAAAGAAGTTGCCATGAAATCCGAGAGTGCTCCGGAACGCTTTTCCATTTACGACTTTTCGCCTCCCGCTGCGCCCAGTCAAACGATTGTGATTCATTTTTCACGAAATATGCAATAAACTAGGCCATCATTTGCCTGGCACCCGTCGTCATATTGCAATAGCACTAAGAGATGCGATCCGCTGAAATTATTGATACCTTTTTACCTCGGAATGTGGCCTTAATTTTTCTTGGAAGTTTATTTATTTATGTACACACAAAAAAGAAGACAGAATACAGAGTAATAGGATAATTATGTACAAAGGCACTGCTTATTTCTTTAAAAAATCTCTTCCAGCAGACCTGCGAGAGGACTATGAGAATAATAATTAAAAGTGATGAGTGTGTGTGTGTAGAACAGCTAAAATAACAAATACAACATGAGAATTATAGTAATGCACATACACATAGCAAATATTGTTAAACTTGAATACAAAATATTATAAGTACCACAGTATATACGAAGTTTATAGTTTACACTGAATAAAGTGACCAATTAAATATTATTAAAGACAGTCAATTTGGAGAGAATGAAAGATATTGCATTTTGGGGAAATAAGAAGTGGTTATATAAACTACCAGACGATATTTTATTTAGGAGATGTATGGAAATTGTAGTGCAAGGTAGAGGGGGAAGAGGTCGACCGAAGAAGACATGGATGGAATGACGATATGAGAGAGAGAGGAGTGAGTGTTGAGATGACGGCTGATAGAAGAGAATGGAAGAGAAAAATTAGCTGTGCCGACCCCACCTAGTGGGATAAGGTGGAGAAAAAGAAGAGATATTTTATTTAGATTGATATCTTAACATTTAATATTGAAATGAAAAGTCAAGTGAAATAACCCAAATGCATACAGTAAAACCAATTTAAACTACTTTTCTAATAATATTACATCCAGTAAACTTTATGAAAGCAGCTGTGTGATTGATTTTAAGGGTTAGCAGTTAAATAATTGTTAGTATACAGTATCAAATTTCATATAATTCCAACTGGAAATTGATTATTATTTTATTAAGTCACTGTCCGATTCTGTTGCGGTCGTCACTTCCGCGTTGTGGCTTCAATTAACGTTTTTAACTTTTCTGCGGCTGGCTTGGTAAAACTCACCGTAAAATTGGATATTTAAATTTAGAAACCCAATTTAACTTCAGCCTACTGTGCCATGTGAATTTATTTCAATTCATTTCGCGCTCTCTTAGGTTAGTTCGAAAAGGTTTTTTTTTTTAATTTAAAGCCCTCATTCCAAAATTTATACTATGTCCATCGGATCGAAAACACGACCATTAAAGGGACCTTATGATGATACGTCATCTTGTCTTAAGTCCGTTTGTGAACACGTAGTAATCAGAATAAAATTTAACTGTATTCTAGGTTTGGGCAACAGGATCTTTATATCCCTCCAGACGACTTTTTTTTGTTGAACTCAGGAATGCTGATGCTCGCATTAGCTAAATTTAAATAAATTTTACTTTCAAATTCAGACTTGATATCGATTGGAATTTATGTAATATCTCATTCAATACATTCGTAGTTCATTTGAAACGATACCACTTTTTCGAGTAATTCTTTCAAGATTTATTAGAACATAAAATTTATATACGTGCTATAAATACTCAGAAGCTGTGTCTGAGACAAAGGGTCATAAATAGATTTATTACGAGAAACCGTAGAAGCATTTCTCTGGGAATACATACCTTATGAGTGTATTAATAATGTACAAAGTGATTAATATATTGTTTATGTTACGGTGTAAAACTACGCTGGCATAAACGGGATTTACTTATTGTTGATATATAGTACACACGTATTGTAGCTCACACTACTATTATAATATGTTACAGTTTTCAAAACAGCTATTTATAGACACATAAAATGGGTATTTATTTATAGTTGAGCTATACAGTTTGCAGGGTGAATATTAGAATAAATAATAAAGAAAAATAAGATTGAAAAAAATGTAATTTAAGAAAAATAGTTTTTGATTTGGTCTTTGAAACACGAGATGCTCCTAGTGAATTGTTAGAATTTAAATGTAAAACAGCAGACACGAGTGTCGAAATACGTACACAATAAATCGCAAGAAATGTTCAACCAAGTTAGGTTGCTACAGAAATCCGTGCGGCCATTGTGTGCTTGGCGTATTGCCAATAGGTTGCATTGCCGCAGAAACACTTACCCTCGAATACAGAATAAGGTAGATGAATAAATGGGTATCTTGCTATTGGCAACTTTTATACTCAGTCTTTATTTTGTCGCAAGACTACTGTTGTCATCATGGATAGAAAGTTCACGGCTTACTTGACCCTGAGCATTTATTAAGGCCCATAAACACGAAAAACTAAAATTAAATAATGCATTGTCCCGTCGTCTGTTCTTATTTTGGTGCGCTTAATTTTGCAATCTACAGTATTATCTCTAAGCCCATCATTAAAATTGCAGTTAAAATTGCAGGTTACAGTCATTTATAATAATTACCTCATTGGTCTAATAAGTGTCTAGCCTTTAAGTTCCTATGTGGGACAACTGCTCGATTCTTATAATGGAATAATAAATGTGTATAATTGTTCAAGATATTTAGTGGTCAATGTCTGAGTGAACTTTGTTCTTGCATTGAATGTGTGTGCCGATACGTATTAAAAAGTTTAAAATCGTAGTTCTGGACCGTTCCATGTTTTTATTTAAACATAATCTAAGCAAAAACCTCGTGCTGACTTACGTTGACAATTAGACATCAGTCAAATTAATAATAAATTAAAATAAAACGTAGTAAGCCCGTTAGTTAGAAGCTATACATAGACACAAAGTGTTTAAGTAATTTTTGAACATTATCTTTTTTTTTTTTTTTTTTTATTGCCTTTGTAGGCAGACGGGCATACGGCCCACCTGATGGTGAGTGGTTACCGTCGCCCATGGACTTCAGCAATGCCAGGGGCAGAGCCAAGCCGCTGCCTATCTGAAACATTATTATCGATTCTCTTATTATTTCCTCAGAAGATAAAACGAAAATAAAACGAAACTACACGTTGAAACTACAGAACTCTTTATGCAATTCATTCTCACAGTAAAGTTAAGAAATCAGTTAGACAGTAAGAACTTGCACTTAAATGAAAACTAGTTGAAATGGAGTTGACTGCGCGAAGTTGTAATCCTGATTAAGAGACTTTCGCATTGTCAGAGGAAAAAGTTCGAGATTTTCATCTAGATAAGCCTAAGTTGACGTTCATAGAACAGTGAAAATGGCGAAAGCTGCATTTGATCATAATTAACATGTAAACGGTCTAATTGGTGTTAAATGATCGAAATGTCTAGCTTGTGTGCGTCCTCATACTTTTAAGCATTTAGTCGAAGTGTTGGCTGAATTGGAACCATGATCATTAGCGTATCTATTTCTAAAACCAATTGAAGGTATGGTGTCTTGTGAAATCATACAGGTAGGTACCATAGCCCTGGTTGCCTCGTTTGGTTCTTTTCCAAAATTTTCTCTATTTCAATTTATTTTTAAATAAAGTTCAAATTTAATATTTCCAAAATCAAATATATTGTTATTTCACTCGTTATGAGGCCGAACTCGCTTCGTTGAACAAGATAAACAGCACAAATTGTGGCTTTTGCACAATTTTCATATATATTTTTATATGTGAAATAAATAAAAGTATGACGGACACTATTGGAACACGTGCGTTCAAAATTGTTAATACGGACTAATCTATAAAAAACATATAATTAACAAGAGGCCATGAACCGCAGGTGAATTTTGTATTTGTGTTTTCCCACAATATCTAAACAAAGTTCCCTTGTAAACTTTTGATTAAATTCCACAGATTTTTAGGGTTCTCATGTACTTTTTTGCCGTCACTTAATAACTCATGGTGATTAATTGATTTGTCCATGATCACGATAACGGTATTACTATTTAGAACGTCGAGAATGAAAATTGAAAATTATAAGCGCGAGATTTTGAATTATCGACATAATGATAATTTATATAGGGTATTAGAGTGCTGCATGTTTAGTATTACCATTTTAATTTTTGCATTTTGCATTTAAGTAATTAATCTTACTTATAGTTAGTTAGAAAAAAGTACTCATTTCTATTTCGTAAATTATAAAAAAAAAACAATTTCGTCACAAAAAATGAAATGCACATAAAGTTAGTTGCCCCTTCAATTTCATTCAATTCTATGAATAGTATTATTTGTTGTACCGTAAAATAATTTAGACGCATGTTGCTAAGGAATTCGTCATATTTATTATCGCTTACACAAAAACTATACAAAGCCCATTTATTTTATACAGAACACTTCGTACATTCTAAGACGTCGTATATACTACTTTTGTTTTCGATACCTGCCTTCCGCGGCACAGGGCGCAAAACAAAATTGAGTATCGATCGTAATAATATTATGAAAGTATATTTAAATTCTGTTTTAGGCCTGCACGGGACGTCTAGAAGTGGGACAGGTAAACTTTGTATGTACCTAAATAACACGTATGTATTCTGATAGAGGCTTTGAGAATAATTTATGACCACTAATTGCTTTTGAAATACATTTTAAATTGAACTAGCGAAATGTTTTAGACGTGTCTCGAGGGCAATTTGTGTTTCGAATCCACTGAATTTTGACGTAAAGAAAATTTGAATTGAGTTGTTCATGTTATTTTAATGCTATTTCGAAGCAAAACCGCATTTGAATTCCGTTTTTATTTGATTATATTTAATGTTGTTTTTAATTAGGAGGATAAAACTAGAGTTATATTTTTATTTTATGTGGCATGCATAGGTAAATCGTGTGATGTAGACTGTAAGCCATTGATATTGTTTTTAGTGAATCTTCTAAAATGTTTTATGACCATCTTTAGTACCTAAAGCTTAGACAATAAAATAAAATAATTATATTTAATAATCAAATTAGTTGTTTGAAATTTGAATAGGTTTACGACCCGGATCTATTTTTTTTATCGCCCGTGCAGGCAGACGAGTATACGGCCCACCTGATGGGAGTGGTTACCGTCGCCCATGGACCTCAGCAATGTCAGGGGCAGAGCCAAACCGCTGCCTACCGTATATGTATAATATAAAAGGACGCGACTGACGCCATGCTGTTTTTAAAAATAATGACGTCATTCTCTTCAACATTACCATTGCCTTCCATAGTGATAGTAACTAAAAAATACTTTTCCAAATAATTCCTTTTGTTAAATTTCAAGTGTACAAAAATAACAAGCTCAACCCATTCGGCTGCAGACAGACTGAATGGCAACCCGTATTTATATTAGAAAATTGGGGGTAGTTTGTTCACGAACTCTCTTGAATACCGTCTGAAACAATTGATTACATACGTTGTACCTATAATAGTTAACCAATATTTTTAACATTAAGAAACAGTTAATTTGAACTAAGTAGTGTTGCGCCGATATATACCTGTATTTTAGCATAAATAATATTATTATTATTATTTTAGAATATTTATTAATAGTTATGTAGTGTTTTGTCTCTGAGGTAGATCTAGAGTAGCACCACTTTATCTCTTCTAATAAATTCGGTCGTAAAGAGCGATTAAAGGATTCACCGGAGAATTGGCAGCAGCGTTTTCTGAGTATTATAGACAGCGTTGCTAACCGGTATTTACTGGTAATAGGGCGTATTATAATCCCGCATGGGTAAGTAAGATCATCTTGGCTATTTCGGCCGCGGGGTAGTAATGCGCTCCAGCGTGGATGGTGGGAAAAGTGGCATACGAAGCATTTAAGACTGAACTCATACCTCAAAGTGGGTGGAATTCGCTATGTGATGTCACAAACTCGAACATGAACGATATTGAGGATTTAACCGTCTATCCATCTGATGCACACGAAAATAGAATTATAATTTGCGTAAATAAACAGTTTTTCTATCTTTAGTCTCAAACCAGTGATGATATGATATGATATAGTTCACTAACTAGTTTCTAGTGCCAAATTCTATTATTTTACTTCGTAGATATAAAATGAAGCATATAGCCCTTGATTTGTTTTAAGTACATGATTATTTATGACTCATGTTTTTGCTCTATGTACTATGACAACAAGTATATTATTACTTACGTGCTTTTCTGACAGCAGACCAACGTATAGACGACGGAAATTAATTAAATTAAAAAAGGTGCAATTTTTTCGATGATTAGGCATATTCCAATAACTATTTGTTTTCTAACAACTTAAATATAAAGCCATAAGTTTAAGTACGAATTTAGAACTCAATCCTTTGAATTTAAATCTCTTTAAAATTCGAATGTGGTCTTTCCCAATAAATTATTTGTTTACTATATAAACCACTATCGAATAGTCTATTGCAATGCCCATAGTTGGGGAGAGGACTGTGACGTCACACTCACCCATGTTGATATAGGCTGACGCGGTAAATAAATGCAGGTCGGCAATAGAATAGAATATTTAGTTTGTAACTGTAGGTTAGACTCCAATTTAATTGTGTACTCGATAAACTAAATTGCTCTAGATTAAACCATTAAGGGAATGCGAATTGTGAGAAAATGTCAGTGTTTATTTTCTATATCAATGTAACAGGTCGAGAATGAAACAATTTAACAATCAATTTATTTTTCCTTTCTTCTTCCTGGAGCTTCCTTATGATTAATGATACCAGTGTTATCAAATTGTTGAGCTAACGTCCTAATTAAGTTAGATCACTCGGCAAATATAAAAGTAAAGTTAAGGAACGTAGAAGTATAATTGAGTTATTCTTTATGAACTAAAATTACAAGATATGATTAGAACGATACAAATTTAATATAATACATGATTTGTTACTTCACCATGATGTGTCAAAGTCGGTACCGACATTCACATTACGATATATTCGTATTTAGGCTGCAGTAAACAATTAACGTCAAATATTCCATACGTTCATCTAGTCAAATAGTGTAATATTAAGTATCAAACTAAAACTAAAACAAAATCATTTTGAGGTTACGGTTTTTAATTAAACACGATCTAGGCAACAACCTTAATGATCGATATGTGTATTTTACCCGCTTATTAAAAGTGTGTCTTAAAAAACGACTAAGACGTCTTATTCTGACTACAATTTAGGTCAAGAATAATATTCTCATGGAGGGTTTTGGGTGACCAGCCATCAGGCAGGGGGCAGGTAGTAAAACTCATGCCAAATTACCATTCATTACCAAATTCAGCATGATTTGGGAATGAATGGAAAAATAGAACATGTTGCACCGACGCGCCACATGCTTTGGCATGGGAAAAGCAAGAAAAAAAATATATTTAATGTATATAAAATATGATTTATGTATGTGTACATAAGCGTATTTGGAAATATGTCAATTGATCACGAGCCTGAATGAAAATAGTTCCCCGAAGCGAATGCCTTTAATTAAAAAACAATATCATATAACCTATAGAATTTTAGAATATCGCTACTGATGGAATGGAATTCAAAGTTTCCGTCTTAATCGAATACCCCTAAAGGCACAGTCGGCAATATTAAGTTTGCCTCGAGGAAGTCGCCTCAATCAGAGATCGATATGAAATGCAGCGGCAGTTTGTAATCAGAGCGAAGGAAGACAAAGTGCTAGCTAACTCGCGACATTCTTGAAATCTCAAGGCAATTGTGAAAGTCATATTCCAGTAATTAAATCTCAGCGTTTTTGTTGTCATAGATATTATAATGTTAATAACACAAAAACAAAAAAAAACATTACAGTTACTTAATATAAACTTTAGTAAAAAAAAACGTGTGGCACTCGGGAACTGCCGCGGTAAAGCTATTGCATAGCATTTTTTATCAACTTATGCAATTATAATTAAACAATGCTAATTTAATATTAAAACAATAATAAAACAAGACCACGCTATATTAAACATCAATAAAAGCAAAACATTAACTGTCTCTTTCACACCCATAAGCTAGAGCGCGGGAGAAAGAGATGGGCAGACTTTTCATGATGCGCATGCAGTGTGCGTCACGCCACGCGCTTATTCACAAACACTACACAAGCGCAACGTGTGAATGTGTTGAACACGAGCTGCATGGTAGGCGGAGTGTAAGGTGTTAGGTTTTTTTCGTTACGGAATTTCATGATTCGGTTGCCGCGCTCAAGGCCCGCGATAAAAGCTATGCAATAGGTTAAAAATTCTACTATATTCGTAACATCTGTTTTGTACTCTGTGGTTTTTCCTTCAATATTAGCTGTTAATTGGCATCAATTTTTTTCGTTAATTGGATTTTAATATTCGCTAGGTGGGTCCCGTGTTTACCGGTGATCGTTTGTCGAGGGGGATCCAGGAATCATTACAAGTCTCTCAAAATTAATTAATCAGTGGCTTACTGTGATGCATTTAAACGCAATCACTTAGATTTGATAAAGTTAAATGTTATAAAAAGCTTCCATATAACTGCATATTCACTTTGGTGCTTAATCTAATTACAATCTAAATAAGTTCAAATATTTTATGTCTCTTTCTGGAATAAATTATATTTAATTACTAAGTACGACACTGTCTTACTTATTTTTTATCTATTGAATTTATCAATTAATGAGAAACATTTAATGGAATTAGTTTCTGTTTTCCAGTACTGACTGATTATTAAACTTTATTAGAAAAAGTTATTTTAATGTTTTGATTTATTGTCATCGTTACAAAATAAACTGTATAATGTTTTTACACAATAAACTGAGTACATAAACTGGGATTTGAAATCCTATGCGATTGAAACAAAGGGGTGCAGACAGCTGAGCTTTTAAAATTTCAGCCAGGGTTATTATCCCCTTTGAAGAGTGCCGCTTCGATGAAAAGAGGATACAGGCAAACCTTGAAAATTTTATGAAATAAATCGTAGCTGTTTGTCGTGCATTTTTTGTTCTTATATAAAGCTATGACATTTTAAAAATACTGATCGATAATACCTCACACGAGATATTGCGGATGCTTAACTAGATGTAATAATTTTTTTTTAAAAGTGGTAGTGTTTATGATTTTTTAATACGATATGTCATTCAAAACTTGTAATTTATTTATAAATATTGTACTGTAGGCAATGGAAGACCACTAAAATTGTGTCACGCATGGGGTCAACGACCTCAAAGGACCTTGAGTGCCACCCTTTGCACTTGCATCCTGTACATTTACTATATGAACCCTTCTTTTAGTAAATGAATAGCATTCTCTGTGTTCCTTTTGGGTTACTTTTGTTGACCTCGCTGGAAAAACAAACTCACAACCCACCTGATATTGCAAATGGAGCCCATATACATCAAAATGTGAACGCTACCATACACCGAGACTTATAATTTCTAAGTCTAAATTTTTTTTAAGTACACAATACACATTACAAGCTAAAAAATTACACGAAAAAAAAATTGAGGATAAGAAAAATAAAAAAATCAGAAGGCTGATGGCTTCACGGGAGAAATAAGCAAGAGAGTGAAAAAAGAAATTGGGACTTA